AATACAACAGTCTCGCTTACACATGGCAACAATGTCCATGAGTGAAACACAAAGTAGCATTCATACATTATTACATCAACAAGTAGTACCACTCACAGATTGTTTTGTTGAGGAACAGGGGCCCAAATAATGTCACTCATCTGCTTCTTTCCAACGGTATTGGGCTTTACTATCTCAATCATGTCATAAAATCGATCCCTCTGCACAATACATACTTGCATTTGTAAATAAATTGGTAAACAAACAGCATCTTACACAAGAACAGTAACAATATTCTTACACATCTGGTGACCACAGTAATCATATCATCATCAACTGCACCTTTCTTCTTACTCTTCTTAGCAGTAAAACTTGGCTTTATTGAGTGCAGCACATAGAAATTCATTGTCTTAGGCTCAAGCATAAGACAAAACCAGTGAACACCAACAAGTGTAGGTCCAAATATCAAGTCACAGTCTCCTATGTTATAACCAACATATTCAGGCAAAAACTGCTTTTCTCGTTTTTCTAGCATCCCACCGAGATGGGTTCGCAACCAGTATTGCCTGCAGCATTGAATGATTAGTCATGTAGCAGTAATAGTTTTGTAAACATCTTAGCAACCTTACCATAAAGTCATCATCAAATATGTGTCGCTTTACTTCTCATTCGCTCTTCATATCAGCCAGTAAAGTCTTGCACACAACTGACATGAGCTATTTGCAAGTAAATTTTAGTTTTTTCTATAGGTATACGTGAGCATCAAATATAAAAGTTATAGTACTCAGCTCAAGATCACAATACTAACTTACCTGGTTACCTATTCTCTCAATTCCTCCAAGTGTCCTTAGCTGATCTCGAGTGATATCCTCATCAAATATTTTAACTAAAGGCCTAAAAATGTGTTCCCAGTATCATTATGTGTGTAGTTAATCAGTAAATAACCCATAAGTAATATCATTCACAGTCATGCGAATAGTAACTTACCAGTCACCCTCCTGACTTGAACACATGCGGGATATCATGTTAAAAAACTTGTCCTTTTCCTCCATATTCCTATTTTTCCTCTTAACAGGCATTGTCAAAATCCATGGAGAATTTATGGCCGACTTCACCTTCTTTTGTGATCTCTTGGGCTGTGCATTCTTGTCCATAGGGGAAACATCAGGGGAATCCATATTTCCTACTTGTATTCCTTCTTCCTCAACATCAATCATGTCAGTCTCGTTCGAGTCATCTCCATGATGAGGTACGTGACCTGAGTCCTGTCCATCATCATCACCTCCCTCATTTTCATCATCACCTCCCTCGTTATCATCATTACCATCATCAACTTCATCTTCTCCCTTATATTCATCTCCAACTTCACTAAGGCCCTCATCTCCCACAGTACGAGTTTCCTCCATTGTTATCTGCACCTTATGTAGCTCGTCCTCTATTGCACTAACAAGTCTCTTGTAGCTTAAATCAATTACAGCCATCAACTTTTGATGTAAGCTCTACAACTCCTGCATCACATTATTAAAAAAAGTCAAACACTTTATCTTGTTAATACACATTGAAATTACCAAGCAAAGCACACACCGAGTATAAGTCAGCGACACTTCTCCTTGTTCTCTCCTCATTCTCAACCCTAACTTTAGAGCCCTTCTCCTTATACAATAAGCCTCTATTGCTCTGCCTTTCTTTCTTTGTCATCTCCTTTATGCTCTCATCAGTCCAGAATTGAATAGCATTTATTGACCCATCTCTAACAATTTAGATAATAGGAAGTGCTTAGCAAGATATAATTGCAACATCAAATTATTAACTTTATCATCACTCTATTTAAACATACAACAAAAAAACAATGGTAATAAATACATACCAAAAAAAGGTAGATGCATCATCCGACATTGCAACTCCCTTCATCATTGTCTTCCCCTACGTTTCTATACACTTCAACATAATCTTTCATCTCTTTTCATAAGTTGTTCACAATGTATGTGACCCAATCAAATCAGTGAAATCCATTCATAGTACAACACATTACCCTTACTAGCTCGTCACTCACTGTTGTTTGTGAGGTAGGAGCTAGAAAACTCCCAAGTGTGTATAACATGAACAAGAACTCAGTTCTCTTCATTCTCCCCAGATTTAATGTCTTTGAGTATCTTGGTAAAAGAGACTTTACCATATTCATTCTTCAACCTCTTATATGTTTCATCATCATCATCCACATCCGTTCTTATCTTTTCCCCTGTGTGGGGTATATCCAACTACTCTGCAACATCTTCTGCATCAATTTCCTTGATTTTCCCCCTTATTGTAAATTGATAGTTAGGCGGATCATATGCTTGAAGCATGCGTACTATGAGGTCACGAGGGAGTCTCTCACATCCCATGTCAAGCAAACTTGAGAATCCCAAACTTCGTACCTTGGCTTTCAATCTTTCATTGTTATTTATAAATTCTACCAATGACTTGTATTGCCGAATTGAGCAACGGGTGCTAAAAGCAACTTTTTTCATTCACTTCTTCTTCGTCCCTTGCTTCTTTGGTTTGTTCACTTTATCATTATATTTCTTCCTCTCCTCCGGTGGCAGCTCCCTCCATGCCTTTGCTGCCTCCCGAATTTCTTCTCTCTTATTCCTAAACTCTTTGCTCGACTTAAATTCATGGAGAAACAACATGTACCCATTCTTCACTTGTCCACTTGCCTCTCCTTCTCCTTCTACTTGTAATACCATTTTCTCTGCTGCAATGACACCACTTGTTAGTAATTCATAATAATATATTTCTTTTATAATAATGTCGTCAATTCCAGTAACAAATATAGTCAATTACACTAATAAATATAGTAAATTTCATTAACATATCACCTACAAAACCATTGTCCAATCAAATGAATTTGCATCACTACAATGTTGTTATTCCCATAACAATCTAGTCACTTTCATTGACTAATTTAGTAAATTCTACTAATAAATGTAGTAAATTTCATTAACATATTACCTCATAACTATTGTCCAATCAATTACCAAATGTAGTAAATTCTACTAACAAATATAGTAAATTTCATTAATATATCACCTCAATATCATTGTCCAATCAATTGAATTTGCATCACAACATGTTGTCATTCCCATACCAAATCTAGTCTTTTTTGTTGGCGAATGTAGTCAATTACTCTAATTAATGTTGTAAATTTCATTAACATATCAGTTAACAAATGTAGTCATTGCCAACGCAAATTTAGTCGTTCTCGGACCAATAGTTGTTATTTCAATACGAAACCAATTAGTACTATTTACTACTTACCTTATCAAATTTACTACTCAGCTAATAGAATTACTGCTTTCTAAATTACTACAATAGGATAGCCTTTGCAAATTTTACCCACGCAAGGATAAACTTTTCAGCCTAAACCATTCAATGAAAATGAAAGTAACTTTATCATTGCCGTGCATGCAGACAAAATTTTACTAAATTCAACTTCCTTAAAATCTCACCTTCTCCACATAGAAAGCTATACTCTTTTTAGCAAAGTCAAATAACACCAACAAAACTATCCTTTCCATTTTGTTTTTTTCCTTCAAATCAAAATAAAACAATCACCACAACAAAAGCAATCCTCTGTTCCAATTAAAGGCCACCCAAAATGGATTAAACACTATCAATCACAATCATTTCCAAATGTGTACACAACCAAACACATGAGCAATAAGATGGAAACAACTTTTTTCGTCCTACAACAACTTTTATGGGAACAACAAAGATAGAACCACAAAGAGCATCACTGCATAATTATATTTTAACCTTCGGGGACCCATCGAAAATGCTCTATGAACAACAATATTCAAGTTCCCTACCTGTTTAGTTTCGAAAGCGATGGCGGCAATGTGATTTCGGAGAACCCTTTTTGGTTACTAGAGGAGCTTGGATTTGGTTTCACTGAGTGGGGGCACTTTCTGTTTTGCCGGGTTACTTTCGTCAGGTCGGCGGGTTACTTTCGTTAGGTCGGCGGGTTGCTTTTGCTGAGTGGAGGATGTAGTTCCAGTTCCTGTTTCACTAAGTGGGGGGGTTGCTTTCGCCGAGTGGGGGGGTGCTTTCGCCGAGTGGAAGCAGTTCCTGTTTCGTCGATTGGGGGTCTTGTTTTCACCGAGTAGAGCCAATTTCCGCCTTTCTCCATCTCCTCGGTTTTCAAACATAATAAGGGTAATTCAGTCTTTTGGCCAAAAATCTAAATTCCAAATTGGTACCCCTTGCCCTATTTGTCATTTTACTTATTCATGTACCTTATTTGTCTTTTTGAAATTCACATGGTATTTTACTATCATTTTCCCTAAGTATTTTTCATTTTGCTACTATTAGCTATTAAAATACATATACATTTGTAAATTCATTAATGAACATTTATAAGTTTTTGTAGTTATAATGTAAATTATGACTTATAAATCCTTATATGAGTAATTGTTATTTTGTTATTACTAATTGTTAGCACGGCTGAAAAAAAGAAGAAAGAGCATTTTGGTCATTTTCCATTAACACATAATTGTATTTTGTTATTTTAATACTGTACTTTTTTTTTTAAACACATAAGTATCTTCCTATTGGAGGCAATCCCATTTAAAACACTGTGAGGCGTTAAATATAGACACCTTTTTAGTGGGAATTTGAATTTTAGTTGTTCATCTTATGAGGGACTAGTTCTTCTACCAGACCAAACATCTCTTGGTAATATTGGACTTTAATTTCAAAATCTTTGGATTTTTTCTGGTCAAAAATGTGTTTTGGAGGTTATTTAAAACTTGAAAGCAGGCTTTATAATTCTCGCATAATAATGCCGTTTTCACTTAAAAGTTACTGGATCGGAAGCAGCCCAAGTATCGGCCCAGTCTTTCGGTGCCCGATTCATTTCAACCTAGGTTTTAATAAGACGTCCCCTCCATTAGGGTTGAGACTCTCATCTTTCTAATTCATACACCGAGGCGGGAGGCGAGCCGCACCCAGGCTCTTTCAGCTTTGGCATCTGAGAGAAGCACGCCACAACAATGGTTAGTACCCATACTTCTCAAACTTGTTTGCTTCAGCACAGCACAACATGTTTCTGGGATTATGTTTTTTTGCACTCTGCACTGGGTTCGTTTTTCCATTCCTTGTAATTTTTTTTTACTGACTACATTTTGAGTGTTTCTCGTGCTGAAGTATTTTTAATTGGGTTTGAAATCCTATTTGCTAGTGTATATTGGTGTTTATTTGAATGGAATTGGCTGTGGATTGGATAATGACGAAGCCTGTTTTAGTGTTCCGCTAATTATTGTGTTTTTTTGGCTCCCAGCAATAAGAGGGGTTTGTACGCCGTTTATGTTATCTGCACGCGATTTGTCTCATGGAATTTTATTATGATTAGAATATTTGTGCCTATTTTTTTAGGCTGATCATTTTGTTTCTGGAGCATATGTTTGTGTTTACGCTTTCTTCTCCTTACTTTATTGGCTGAATACAAACTATGAACATTCAATACAAAATTTTGATAAGATATTCGTTCGATATGTGACAATGAGGGTTGTGGATGATTGTTAATCTCAAACCGAGGTTACTAGCGTTTAGACCTGCATATAAGGATATTTTTCTTTGTTTTATGCGTAAAATTTATTTTTTGCCCCTCAAAAATTTAATTTTGAAACATGGGTTCAAGCTCTGTCATGGAAAGCCGCCTTGAGTCCATGCCCTTGATGTTGGTGATGTTTTTCATTGATACTCCTTTTTTGGGGCTATGCTCAATTTTTAAATTTAAATTTATGAATTCTAAGATTCATTGATATGTTTGCCTGTTCTATTCGTTATGATCAATTGCGTTGAGTCCATATAGTTGCTGACAGATGCGAAGAATGTCTTTCCCTGTGTTCCTCATGTTTTAATTTGTATTTGTATTGTCTATTTCAGGCCAGAGGTTTGAAGAAGCACTTGAAGAGGCTCAATGCCCCGAAGCATTGGATGCTTGACAAACTAGGCGGTGCCTTTGTATGTACATGATTAGCAGTTCTTTGTTTGATCAATCTTATTTGACTTGTTTTCATTTTTGACATGCTGTCAAATTCATTTATGTGCAGGCACCAAAGCCATCTTCTGGGCCCCACAAGTCAAGGGAGTGCTTGCCACTTATCCTTATCCTGCGTAACAGGTTGAAGTATGCTCTCACCTATAGAGAAGTTATTGCCATCTTGATGCAGCGCCATGTTGAGGTTGATGGCAAGGTTAGGACAGACAAGACATATCCAGCTGGTTTCATGGGTATGTGCCTTAAAACTTGATGGCTGCACAACATTTATTTATTTTGATGTTGAAATTATTTTTGCTTTGAGTGGGTGACAATATTGTCCTTTTTAACAATTCCTTCAGGTTGTTGTAGACATTTTTCTAGAAGCAAATTATGCTTTTACATTTCCATATGGAGCAAATTGTATTTGTCTCTGTAGCCTCTGTACTATTGTTACAACATGTTCTTATCACTGCTTCTGTGTGCTGCACTTATTTTAATGAATTGGCGGCTTTGAAAATGTAGCATTTTAACACCGTTTCATTTGTATCTTTAACTGTTACCAGATGTTGTCTCCATTCCGAAGACCAATGAAAACTTCCGTCTTCTTTATGATACAAAAGGACGTTTCCGACTGCAATCTATCAGGGATGAAGAAGCAAAGGTTTGTTTAGATTATTCCTACCTGGGTTTATGGAATTGTTTTGGATATTTATTTACAAGTCTAAATCAATGGGTATTGCTGGCAGGAAGTGTTTGCTTTTACCCTTAAATCTACTGTGGCGTCTCCTTACCCTTTAATTGTGAAACTTAAATTTCTTTCCCTCACTCATCTTTCCACTTCAGTTCCATGGATTTTTTCCCTTGGAAGCACTATGATAACGAGATTTTGCTGAATGCAGTTCAAGCTTTGCAAGGTTAGATCTGTGCAATTTGGACAGAAGGGCATCCCTTGTCTCAACACCTATGATGGGCGCACCATCCGTTATCCTGATCCATTAATCAGGGCAAATGACACCATCAAACTAGACTTGGAAACTAACAAGATCACTGACTTCATCAAGTTTGATGTGGGTAACGTGGTCATGGTGACTGGAGGAAGGAACAGAGGCCGTGTTGGCGTTATCAAGAACAGGGAGAAGCATAAGGGAAGTTTTGAGACCATCCACGTTCAGGATGCAACTGGTCATGAATTTGCCACTCGTATGGGAAATGTGTTCACGATTGGCAAAGGTACAAAACCATGGGTTTCTCTTCCCAAAGGCCGTGGTATCAAGTTATCTATTATTGAGGAGGCTAGAAAGAGGCTGGCTGCTCAACATGAGGCAACTGCATAAACTTGATTACATCATGTTGTTGGACAACGTAGCTATTAGATTGTCTTTAAGGACAGCTCTGATGCTGTGTTTAAGAATACTTTAATTTACAAGGCACCAAAACAATTTTGATTTTTGAATTAGCGTTTATGTGATCTTCTGAGTGACATGTTCTTTGTTTAAGCGCTCTCTCATATTGCGTTACAAGGCTTTGGCTGTTTGGATGGTTTTTGTGAACTTTTTATGTCATGACAGAAGTAGGGGTTTTTATCAGAATGGTTTGTTTATGGCTTTGCTGATTGTAGATTAACATGCGCCATTGTAGATTAACTTTCGTTGTGTATTAGATTAGAAGCGGGAGTGCTCTGGGAAAATATGTTAACATGGTAAATTACAGTGAGAGTGATATTTATTATTTTGAGCATAACCCCGGGATCCTTTGATTTTCATGATTACTTGCATTTTGTGTAGTAGCCTGAGAACAGCAGTTTAAACTTCTGGCTTTTGGATGTCAAAATCCTTTGACTGTTTAAAATGAAACCATATAATCTGTTAAGAAATGTTTATTGCAATTAGTACATTATTAACTCTGATTATGTGTATGATGATTTTTTTTTTTTTGGAGGCCAACTCGTGTGTATGTTTATACCTTCGCGAACTTAAGAAGAGGCGACTCGATTTCAGCAGTATTGGATCAATGGATTTGTAGAATTGCTTTGACCCAAGCCATTTTGCCATTACGGAGCATGATTGGAAATCCCACTTTCCCTTTTTTCTGTTTTTTTTTTAAGACCAGAAATCCTACTCTGTCATAAATTTTTCATCAATTATCTGATCACGGAGGTTTATTATAAAATTTTAACCTAATAATAATACCACCTGTTTGGGTATAAGAATAAACTGTTTTGACCAACAAGCTCTTGGTTAAAATAATAAGCGGTTTCATTATTAAAAAACGTACTTATTAGGAAGATTTTAATTTTAATATTCTTAACAATATAGAGTTTAGTCGTTTGTTTGAAGTGACTTAGAGATTCTGAATTTATACAAAAGAAAAAGAATAAACTTTTATGCAAAAAAGGCTTTTGATTTAAAAGATTTTAATTTAAAAGTTTCAAACTTTATTTCGTTTGATATAATTTTTTATTGTAGGGAAAATCATTTAAAAAAATTATAAAGAAACGAAGAGAAAGATAGAAGCGAGACGGCAGGGATTTCGTAAGATTTATGCGTGTAAACAAGTATTTTTAGTTTATAATGTTTTAATTTACTTAAAAGTATGTTTTCATTTTTTTAAATATTTTAAATTTAAATAAAGATAACGATCATTATTTTTCTTATCGGATATTCTCGTAATGCAAATCTACGTGTTGGATTCTTATCAGATTCAGGCACCAAAAAAAAAATTCCTTATTGGATTGAAATTTTTGAGTTAAAAAATTTTCAAGATAGATAATTCATGCATATACATATGGGTTGAATTGTGACTTTTGAGTAAAAGTGAGAAGACTATTTTGAGTTTTCATATTCAAATTAAAATTGAGGTTTACGTTTTGCGGAGAAGGCTTCTATCTTAAAAAAGATTCGATTCTAAAAGACTAGTTTATTAAGAGAGAGAGCCCTTAAACTTATAAGTCCTATGATGCTAGTGAGATTTTCTAATAGAAGACTCATAAGAGTGCAATTTTGAAGATTCAAACAATTTCATGTTTTTATTTGATGTTCAAGATGAGTGGACTCCTCGGTATCATGACTTGAAATTCTATTCTACAAAAGAGGGAATATGGAAAGGGATTGAAATGGGTTTCTTCTTCACTGGGTACAGACCACTGAGATTTGACATGCACGTTTTCATAAAAAAGAGCCTCGCTTCAGATTGTTTTCCCTTTTATCAGCAAGAAGAGCCCTTATTTCAGCATATATAATGGCTTACAACATTGAAGATGGAAGCTCAAGAATGCTTAAGAGTCCCAAAAGAAGCTACATGGGTATAGACAAATGGGGGAAATTAACAAGTTCAAATGAGTCAATTTGCTTGGTGAGATTAAGGAAAAAAAAATGTTTTTAATTTCTGGGTTTTTAACTGATTATGAAGCTTACACATGAAGAAACACTTTAAAAGTAAGGGTGAAAGCAATGGGTATGAAGGGAGAAGATTTTATCTTCATTCTTTCTCTCTCCACGTTAGAAACGGCAAAAGCTAATGGAGAAGTTCCTTCAGCCAGCGTTCAGAAATAAGCAACTTTTGCTTATAAGTCAGTTGTAAAAGCAGTACATCCAAACATGTATTTTCACTCAAATAAGCTGGTAACCTCAGTTACACCTTTCCCAAGGCACTTTTGACTTCTGTAATGACAATCCAAACGTAACCATTGTCGTGACAGGATTCACATTTATGAATGGAGAAAAATTGATTTTTGCCACAGAGAACAAGGTTTATGGATATGGATTGAAACAGGAAAATTACATGTAACTTGAAGAAATTTGTGAGCATGGGTTTGGGTATGATGCAACTTGCTTCACCACTTATTCTGATACTCTTCATCCCCGGTGGTGACCTTTCTGCAACATCACCATTATTGCTGCAACAACGTTGTTGATCTTCTTTGTTTTAACGTCACATTCTCTGTTTTTGTTTATAAGAGTGTAGTTGAAACTCATTATTTGTTAGACTGAGTTAATTAATTTGACTAAGTAATATCATCTTAAGTATAAAGTCTTCTAAAAAAAAAGATGAAAGCCAAAGAAAACACTTAATAAAATTATTAAGCGAGATCTTTTAATTAACAGTATATTCAAGGATTTGGCTTGGATAGAGTTCGATTCGATCCATGCAACTAACCCACTTAGTGGGATAAGACTTTGTTATTGTAAGTAATATTACCTCCGGTTCTAATTATAAGAGCCAGTTGACTAATTTAAGAAGATTAAAGAAGTAAGTTAAGTTAGTTATTTGTCCTAAATAGGTATTGTTTTTTCTAAAATATCCTTGCTAATCAAGTGTATGGATTGAAACTTTCAAATTGATTGGATGATAATATTAAAAAAAAAAGTTTCTTGAATTTTTTTTCCTTTTTTTAAATGCTTGAAGATATCTCCGTCAAACATGTTAGTGCCTCTCCTTGAAAAACGTTAAACAGAGTCATAACACCGTTAAGAGGAAGCGGTTTACGGATACAGCTTCTCTCTCTTCCCTCCATCTGTTCACCGCTTCAGTTGTGGATTTTCAGTTTGAAAATATTTAAAATTATATTCAGATGAGGAAACATGGATTCTTAGTGGTAAACAGGTATTCTCAGTTTATAGTATTTTAGCTTAATTAAAACTTTATTTTCACTTTTTAAAATTTTAAATTAAAATTTAAGTAAAGATAACGATCAATGTGTTCCTTATTTATTAGTTTAAAATTGGTAATGCAAATCTAAGTGTTTAATCCTCATCAGATTCTGCCGGCCAAGAAAAAAAATCCTTCTCAGATTGTAGTTTTTGATTTGGAAAATTATCAAAATAAACAATTCAGGCTTATGAATACATGATGATGAATTGAAATAAAGAAACTAAAATCAAGAGGAGGTCCCAATTATTTTTATAATTGAAATCATCAAAACTGAGAAATCATGCCCGTGCCTACCTCACTATTTTCAATTTTTCTTTTTAACTATAAAAAGATATTTTGGTTCTTTTAATGATATTCATAAATTCCTACCTGTTGCCACAAATTTGCATGGGACTAGGCAATTCACATGTGAAAGGTCAAGATTTAAAGACAAACCTCATGTATTATTATTATTATTATTTTTTGGTTGTGAAGAAATGCAAACTTTTAAATGGGTAAACCTTCAATCCTTGTATTTAGGGAGTGTTTGGGTGAAAAACAAACTATTATTTTAAAAGTAATTTTACGGTATATGAAATAAATATATGAAAAAGTTTGCCTTAATTTACAAAAAAATATTTTTTAAAGGTATTTTTATTATTTGCCAAACATCCTTTTAGTCTGTATTACTTTCCCCTGCTTAAGATTGATGCTGCATTGGATTACTTGAGTTTGAGTGGCTTGGGACTTGCATTCTTTCCTCATTTGTTTTTCTTATATTATTCTCCTCGTCCAATCTCCACTATTAAATCAATAAATGAACGGCTTTTCTAGTAAAAGGAAATTTTATTTTATTTTATTTTACTTTTTTGGCCCCAAAGAAAAACCAACGGGTAAGATTCAATATTTTGTGAAGTCGTTATATTTTCACACTTCCAATTAGTTTGTGTTTGTGAATTATCTAGATCAAATTTTAATGTTTTAAACTTATTCTTTTTAGTTTTCTTTAGTATGATAATTAATATTGTATAAGATACTTAAAAATCAGTTAATAATTACATACTAATATAAATAAATATAAAAAATAATTTATTAAGCCGTAATTTAGTAATTTAAAAATAAAATGTCCTTTGAGTTGTCACCTTTTATGAAACTTGTTTATGAATATATAAAATAAATAAAAATAATAGATCTTGTCCAACCTTGACTTAAATAGTATTATTTTTAATAAGAGGATACTTGGGAGCAATAAAAAAAAAACAACTTTTCATCAAATAATATCAGTGTTTGTGTGTAGTGAATTAAATATTTTGGACTAAAATTTGCTGGGATTTTAAGTTAAAAGGTTTTTGTTTAAACCGTGAAAATTAAAAGGTTTAAACTTAATAACTTTGCAGTTGATATTTAACAATTAAAAACTATAACTCACCAAATAGAAGCAGATGAAAAATTTAAATTATTTGCATTAACATCATTGTAAGTTATCAAGTTGTTGTGAATCTAAAATTAAAGCAACAGAACCCCCAGCATTCAACGTAATTCAAAGTGGATACAAGTTTTGAAAATCGGGACAAACCTTTACATATAATTTGCGCCGTAAGCATTGAGGAAGAAAAAATTGATCTATTGAGACGTTCCAATTGTTAAATGTAAAATAATCGATCTTCTTTTATTTAAAATAATGTATCAAAATAGCACCCCAAAAAAAATTTTATTTTTCTGGTCTTTAATATAGGACCCAATTGTTGAGTTGATTTTAATTCTAAATATAAGACTCATTTCTCATATTTTTTTTATATATAAATTACTCCTATGGATACTCCCTCAACTATAATTAAGTAAAAGAAAAAAAAGATATTAAGAAATATGATTATGGTATTTTAGGAACAATGTATCATATTTATTATAATTAACTAATTTACCTAACTTCTATAATCTAATTAAATTAGTTAAATGGATCTTATATTAAGA